CCTTCCACAGGCAGGGACCCCAAGCTCACCATCTCCCTTCTCATCCTCTCCAGCTTGACAGGGCGTGATGTCCTGACGCCTTTCCCAGGCCTGGGCACAGCGGCAGCCCCGGCACAGGCTGGTGCCCACCTGAAGCAGTGTGACCTGCTGAAGCTGTCTCGGCGGCAGAAGCAGCTCTGCAGGAGGGAGCCTGGCCTGGCTGAGACCCTGAGGGACGCTGCACACCTGGGGCTGCTGGAATGTCAGTTCCAGTTCAGGCAGGAGCGCTGGAACTGCAGCCTGGAGGGGAGGACCGGCCTGCTCCAGAGAGGTGGGGAGGACAGCAGGGAGGACTTCGAGGGGGAGGAGGATAAGGAAAGCCAGCATGAAGGGAGGGAGGAAGAGGGCTGGTGGGGGGTTGTAGGTGGTGAGATGGTTACACCCAGCCCTCATTGTGCTGACGACCTGGGCACAGTCCCAAGTGAGAAGAGACCTGGGGAGTTAGTAAGGTCTGTTGAAGGCCAGTGGTTTGGGAGGACAGAGGAGCAAAGATAACACAAGAGAGGAAAGGACACGGCATTCCTGGAAGAGATGACAGAGGAGGTGGGTGGCCCCAACCACCTACTAAGAGGTCCAGATGTGCAAGTCAGGCAGATTCCTTTGTCCACGTGCTCATGTGTTACCCTTCATCACATCCGTTGATGAGTCCTTCCCTCCTTCCCTTCCCACCTGACCCCACTTCTTCCTCATCCTTCTCCCGCCCTATCCATCTGCTGAGTATCCTCAGAGGCCCACAATGAGCCAGGCACTATCAAGGGGCCAGAGGCACAGGCTGAGTGTGACCCAGTTTCCCTTGGAAAGTGCACCTTCTAGAAGAGAAAATGGATTGTAGTGTGATTCCATTGCCATGCAGAAGGAACATAGGTACTTTTATTGTTGTTGCTATTTGATTTTGGAAGACTAGTTCTCTGTAGCTCAGGCTTGCCTGGAACTCACTCTGTATTTATTTCAAATGCTCAACAATGGTCCTGCCTCGATCTCCCAAGTGCTGGAATTGTAGGTGTGAGCCATTCATCTCGCTTAGATCTACAATGGGGATTTTTACAAAAATGCAGTGGTCAGCCCCACTCTAGGCCAGCTGCTCTCTATCGAAGGGAGGGTCTGAGACAGAGCTAGTGGCCTGCTTTCCTCTCTTTTCAGCTATCACCAGTGCCCCAGATACACCGAGAGCAGAGGACTTGGGGAGACATGCTTGGGTCACCTTCCAATGTGAGCACAGTGGTTGTCCAAGTGCTGGGTGGATGTCAGACCGGACCCCCAGACCATTCTGTCTTTGGGTCACCTACAGATGGTGGCAGAGGACATTTGAGAGACATTAGACAGCTTAGGAATCCATAGAAACAGATTGTCCAACTTGTCATAAAAGTACTTCAAATCAGGATGTCTATTTGGCTTTAGCCTGGTCCTGTCCCAGGTGCCCAAGTCACTTTTTGTATAAGTTACTGAGATTAGCAGTCCTGTCCTGCTGCCCTCAAAGCTGGGCACATGCTTCAGAGAAAGTCTGGAGGCCGTTTAAGGGGCAGCTTTCAGCCTGAGTCTGAGGGCAGGTAACAGGGGAAGGCCTTACACAGCCGTGCCCTTATGCTCACAGTTCCTTACCCTACCCACTATCTGCCCCACGTACCTCCTACCTTCAAAGGGCTGCAGATGGCTTCTGAGCTTCCTCTCCTCCTGCACAGGCTTCAAGGAGACAGCCTTCCTGTATGCTGTGTCTGCAGCTGCCCTCACGCATGCGCTGGCCCGGGCCTGTAGTGCAGGACGCATGGAGCGTTGCACCTGCGATGACTCCCCGGGCCTGGAGAGCAGGCAGGCCTGGCAATGGGGTGTATGTGGTGACAACCTGAAGTACAGCACCAAGTTCCTAAGCAACTTCCTGGGGCCCAAGAGAGGAAGCAAGGACCTGCGAGCCCGAGCTGATGCCCACAACACCCACGTGGGCATCAAGGTGAGTGAATCCCCTCCCTATTGCCCAAAGTGCCATGCTAGGCAGGGTACAGAGGCAGGGAGCAGATCTAAGGGAGGTCAGTGCCCTACCCCTAACACACAAATGTCTCGGGATGAACTTCAGACCCCCTCCGTGAACTTCTCTGCACATTACCAGGCACTGAGGGCACATACTCCTAGGCATCATGCCTTGATAAAGGAGTGTTTGGAAAGAAGGCTCCATTCCAACAACAAAGCCAGTGTCATTTGACGACTTCAATATGACAACTACCAGGTCTCCTCTATTTTGTAAGCAGAAGAGAAAGGAGGCCCAGAGAGGAGAGGAACTTAGCCGGGGACACCCAGCCATGAGAGAGCTGAGAGCAGTGAGTCTCTATGTCTACTGGAGCGAGAAGGCGGGGAGGGACAAGAACTTTAATTCCATTAGGAAGCCGGGATGCCATGTTCAGTTGTGGAGACTGTACACTCCACAAGAACTCTGGGCCAAGTGGAGGAGCTGTCGGCTGAGATCTGTCCCATACTGCCTTCGCCCAGGAGTGCACTGCCTAGAGGAAGGGAAACTTTTTCCTAGTACAGACAAAGGTACTTTGAGGGTCTTAGATCATTGTGACTCCGGTCCTGTTTGTCGCCTTCACGTAAGCCTTTGTACCCTTTCATTCTGTTGACACTCCTTGGCAGAACTGGCATGGTGGAGCAGGCTTAGACCACTGACAGGCCTCCACTCTGCCCTTCTCTACAGGCTGTGAAGAGTGGCCTGAGAACAACCTGTAAGTGCCATGGCGTGTCAGGCTCCTGTGCTGTGCGTACCTGTTGGAAGCAGCTCTCCCCATTTCGGGAGACTGGCCAGGTGCTGAAGCTACGCTATGACACGGCTGTCAAGGTATCCAGTGCCACCAATGAGGCTTTGGGCCGTCTGGAGCTATGGGCACCTGCTAAGCCAGGTGGGCCTGCCAAGGGCCTAGCACCTCGCCCTGGGGACCTCGTCTACATGGAAGACTCTCCCAGCTTCTGCCGGCCCAGCAAGTACTCTCCGGGCACCGCGGGCAGGGTGTGTTCTCGTGATGCAAGCTGCAGCAGCCTATGCTGCGGGCGAGGCTACGACACCCAGAGCCGCGTGGTGGCTTTCTCCTGCCACTGCCAGGTGCAGTGGTGCTGCTATGTGGAGTGCCAGCAGTGCGCACAGCAAGAACTTGTGTATACCTGCAAGCGCTAGGCCTCCGCCACATGAGACCGTGGTACTGCCAGGACTCCCGTCGCACGGGACTCCGGCAAGCGCCTGTCTGCCAAAGCACATGCCGTGCACAAGAGTGTGCCCTTCATGGCTCATCCCCAACTGATCGTTGGCCCTCCTTCTGCCTTCATCACCACTCAGCAGAGAAAAATAAAGCCCTGCCTCTAAGTCCCAGGATCACCAACCTGGTTGAGGACTTGGGGCAGAACAGACTAAGAAGAGAGGACCAGGGTAGGGCAGGGGAGATGCTACGCCCGAAGAGAGAAACATCTTCCTATCTCAAGGCCAACAAAAGCTGGGAGGATATGGAAGAGGAAGGCAGAGCCAGCTGGAGTCGGGTGGGGGTTATCCAACTGAGCATGGCCAATCTGTTGTGGTGGCCCCACTCTGATGGCAGAGAGCTCTGGCTGCCACATGCCTGCCCTGCTTTGGGGGGAGATGTGCTTTGCACACTGGAGACTGTTTGAGATATTTATTGGGAGCAAGGAAAGTTTTTTAGGCGTGGGTGGATCAGGTCACAGAGTCCATGCCCTGAAGTCTTGTGTCCTGGTACTCAAGGCTGCCTCCTTGTCTCCTTGGCTTGAGAGCCGAGTTCCCCACAGCCATTCAGCTCAGTGAGACCCATAATGCACATAAGAAGGGTGCAGGACCAGTCTTCATGGTGGGGTTCGGATAATGCAATTAGGGTTGAGTGATGGAGACAGAGGCCCTTTTTCTTTTCCTTGGTGGTCAAAGGAACCTTTAATCACAGCCCAGAGGAGGAGAGGCAGTGTCCTGATGCATGGAAGAGATATGGCAGGCTCTGTATAGAAACACCATTGTGAAGTGTGTTCTGCCAGTTCCCTGTGACTGGGGTCTCCTTGAACTGAGAGACCCCCATACATGTTAGTAACACTTGTGAAGAATGGTTGGCTCATGAGCCACGTGTTTGCTTACTTCCCTGCTCTCAGGATGCTGATGCTGACTTTTGCCTTGGCTAAGTCTTTGCTAAACCTCTTTCCTCAGTGGTCCGTTCCTTTACTAATGGCCACTTCACTCGGGCTCCTATCAGAGGAGCAGAATGACTGCTGATGGACCAAGTGGTCATCATCCCCTACCAAGGCCCTGTGAAAGAAGAGAAGCCAGTGCCCAGGTACAGGCCCACACAGATGCACACACACAGCCTGGCCAGGCACAGGCTTCCCATGAAGCAGGGCTCATCTCTCCAGCCTAGGACACTGGGGTCACTCTGCTGGAGTCTGCAAGCTTCCCCAGAGCAGGACCCAAGGCCAGCCAGGAGGAAATGACCTCCTTTGGGAAGCTTTTGGCCACTTGGCTGGCTGTGCTGCTAACCACCCCCCACCCCATAAGCTTCCTTCCGCCCTGAACCCTGTTGGGGTTACTATCCCTCTGCGGGAACAGGAAGCTTTGGAATCAGTGGGTGCTCAGTGAATACTGGCCATGACAGCTCCAGGAAGGAGGCTCTATGGGCCAGAAGGGGCCACCCTATCTTCAGTGGCTCAGGGCAGCATGAGAATACTGGCAGGATCTTTGATGGCAGGAGCTCCAAGGAGAGCCACAGTGACCTGAGACCCTCTCCTGGAATGACTTTGCTGACCAAAGAATACCACCAACAGCTTGGCAGGAGGAGAAAAGAGACTGAGTGCTGGCTTTCTATTTTTCTGCTGAAGGTTGACTTGTTCCTTGGTAACCTAAAGCATTCTTCTCCTGTCTGGAGGCTACACAGGCAAGAAGGGAACCTGAAACATCTTGGGGACTAGAACACTCTGACCTACAACCATACCACCTGTACCCCTACTCCATGGTCAGGAGGGCTGGGAATGCAGAAAGGTCAATGTCGACTTGAAGCCTAGGCTGGTCATTAACACTGATGCCCTAGGGCACCCCCAGTCTGGCCCTCTCCCACCCTTCTCCTTTCTTTCTCCAAGACCCCTTTCTTTCTATCCCCCTAAAATCTCACCCCAGTTGTGCTGGGGCCCCTCAGACTGGAACTTTAAGGGAGATGTTCACAGGGTATTTCTGCCTACCTCATACATATAGTTTTTAGAAAATAATTTATATAGCTAAGATATATGGGAAAGTATTTATGTTATTTATATAGCTTCTCTATTTCTTGGGCACCACATGTGGGGGTCAACATGTTTACCCAGAAGCCTCTGGGAAAACACAACTGGGTCTCCCAGGGGCACTCACGGAGCAGGATACCAGGTAGCTGAGGGAGGTCACAGTTCCTGTGTCTCATGGAAGTCTGTCTTGGAGCTTGGGAATACATGTGTGTCCTGAGATGAGCCTTGTGAAACTGAGCAGGGTTTTTCTTGTGAGGTCTGCAGATTCGCCACCTCTGAGCCCCAGGAGGCCTTTCTGCTCTGCCCAAAGGGTTTTGCTCATAAAGGACAAAAAGGATGGGCACTTTCCAAATTTAGAAACACCCCTCTCTTCACTCTCCCATGATTTCTCCATTTTCCCTGTAAGGTTAGGTTAGAGGAGGCCAAACTACTGTACCCATTTTCCAGATTTGGCCCAGAGATGGAGGCCTGTGCTCAAAGTCACACAGAAGAGAACAATGAGCGAATATTGACTTGAACATGCCCCAAGAACTGGGCGAGTGGACCTCCTCCAAACCTGAGAGCCAAAGCCACCAATCTCACCCTGAACCTAGAAACTAAGGGAGGTCCTTGCTGTGTGTACTCCCCTCTTCCCCCTGGACCACATGCTAGTTTCTCCAGCAAGCTGAGTCTCATGTCTCAGGACTGGGACTTCCTGAGAACCCTGGAGAGACAAAGACTCGTAGAGGTTATTCTTAGGGGGCCTGCATCCCACATTACCCAAGATGATCAGACTATAGAATCCAGCCCATGGATGAGTTTTGTTTGCTTTCTTTTGTGTTTCTCCCTTTAAAAATGGATTATTTCCCACTGGACTTCTAATTTTTTCTTTGAAAATCAGTTGCACTGGCAAATGGGACTGGCATCCTGGCAGGCTGCCAGCATTGGGAGCCACACCAGACAGAATGCAGGGACTCCCTGTTAGCCCAGTGTCCCCTGCCCTTCCTCAAGTCATACATGCTTGGCTTTCATGGGCATGCAGAACCTGTCTCCTGGCCTACATGAAGTCAGATGTTCTGGCACCCTCTGTTGTCTGGCAGACGGATGACCACACAGACTGTGCCAGCCCTGTAGATCATGTCTTTCTTTCCAGTGTCATCTCTCAACAACCATGAACTTCCAGCACTTCCCATCTGAGCACATATGAGAACTGCAATGGAAGCCCTTATTTGTTCAGCGCTGTCACACACTTAAGAGTCAGTCCCAGCCTCATGAGGCTGATGTGCTGGAGAGAAGAAAGCTAACAAACCAATAAACTATGCACTGGTTATTTGTGCT